TTATTAATATGTTAAAAATAATTTTTTCATGTAATGTATCAAAATTATTATTCCTTATGATTGATTTAAATTTGTTTCAAGTATTTTGTAATAATATTTAATCAGCAATTTAGATAATTTGGTTTTTGCCGGTTTTTACCAGTTTTTGCCGGTTTTGACCAGGTTTTTGCCACTGTCCTGGCAAAAAAACCTTTTTGCCGGCAAAAACTCCAACCCTGGTGTAAACAGTTGATTACATAAGTGTAATTAACTGAAATAATGTTTTTATGATTTTAGCTCAAGTGCAAATTTGAAACCTGGAAATGGTAAGTCGAGCTGGAGCTCTGAAATTGGAACAACTAATGACTTATGGGGATCAATGCCAAATAAAAATTCTCGTAATTCTGCTCCACAAGGGATATCCAATCCAGGTACATGTCATCACATTTTTAATTAATTTTCTAAATTACAACTACTGTATTTCCTGGTGTATGAGTCCCTTAAAACCCCCAAAATTTTACAAAAAATCAGGGGATTTAATTTTTATACTATGTTAAGAAAATTGGATATTCAATGATCGGGAAATATAGATGCATTATAAATGATGAGAGTGTCATTTTACTCCTTTCAAAAACTATTTTCAATATCTTATATACCATGGATGCACAGCCTAAGACCCGCACTGAAATCTTTTAACTTGGCCCCTGAACTGTCTAAAATAGTAATGAGAAAAAAAGTAATAAAAGTAAATCGTTCGTCAGCTTTGCTCTGCAAAGTAAGTTAATGATTTATTTCCGTTTATCTCGGAGAGATTGTTGCCATTTAATTTTGCAAGTACTATTTATGGCAGTGGTTCAGTGTTAAAGTAAAATTGAATTTTTATCAATAAATAGGAGGTATTCTTTAAGTGAAGAGTAAATATTAAAGCATATGATTTTAACAATTAATAAATTTTGTTTTCGAACTCAATAGTAAAAGTCAACTTTAGAAATAAATGAAATTTTGTGAGTTTCTTTTTTATTTATCATTTGTTTACTTTTTAATCTTCCAACTATGTTTAAAGTACTTTAAATTATTAAATATATTTATTTAATTTATGATATTTTTATTATATAGACAATTTAGTTATGCATGTTTAATTCATATCAGGGATGTAACAAATATTTCTCATTATTCTGCCCTTTTGCCTAATAATCGGCAAAGTATCATTTGTAAAATTATTTTTCAAAAAATTTTTTTTGTGTGTTGAGGGAAATATTAATAGATTTAATATAAAAAAGTTTGAAATTATGTTTTTTCTATGCATTATTAGAAAATGTTTTTACACACGCTTTTTAAGCTCTAAAACTTGAAAACTTTTTAAGCTCTAAACTAAACCATAAGTTTTGCAATGCTGATTTTAAGTTATATTGAGGCAAATTAATTTCATCGTTTCCCCCAAATTTTAGATTTTAAAAATTCAGAACTTTTTTTAAAGTTTCATTTTTGCTTGTTTTTCTGTTTCAACTAAGCGAAACTAACAGATCTTTTCTAATAGGTTTAATTACTCATTGCCACTTTTTTTTGTTTGGTACGACAAATAACTAGTAACATAGCAGTGTTTTCATCATAGAAAAAAAAAGTGTGAGAATTTCTCACCCTTTCTCAAAAACAGGGTGAGATTTCAAAAAGTTAAGTGAGATTTCTAAAAACTAAAAAAACACAAAAACTCATGAAAAAAAAATCATTTCTTTAATTATAATACATTTTTAACATCTTCTATTTTTTAAAGTATTGAATATTTTTGGTGCATCATCATAGATTTTGCCTTTACAAGGTATTTGTCCATCTTACATAAGTGCATAAAAAATTTGAACGTCTTACATGAAGAAACCTTACCTACCGTAAACACGTGGTTGCAGAGAAATGTGTTGTAGGTAATGTGATGAAAGGGGTTGTGTTCTGTTGTTCGAAAAGGTTCTAATACTGGCAAATAGGGAAGCTAGATAATGGGGCAGATGTTGTAGATAATGAAAGATCCAGGAAGGGAAGTGAAAAGAATTTTATTCTAAATGGCGTAATTCGAAGCTTTTTCCAAAATGCTAGAAATTCGCGAATTTTGAAATTGATTTATAGAATGCGCGAATTTCTCGCGGTAATAATTTTTTAATGCGAGAAAAGAAAAAAATATGCGAGATTCTCGCGTTCTCGCGCTGTAATGAAAACACTGACATGCATAC